TCAATTTCATTAAAATTTTTGAAAATAATTAAATTGTAGAGAACAATTTAATTATTTATAAAGATAATATAATTGAAATTTCGAGGAGAATTTCAAATAATTTTTAAACATAATTGAATTTCTGCGGAGAATTTTATTACTTTTGAAAATCATTAGATTGTTTTTTTCGAATTTTATGGAAATTTATGAAAATAATTGAATTCTTGTGAAGAATATTTTTCAAAAATAATATTCAAAAGAATTTAGTAAATCTGAAAAATTTTGCTATTTATGAAAATAATTGAATGTAGAGTAGAGGGGGGTAATGTAGTACAGGGGGTAATGTAGTGCACTGGCTTTACTGACTAAACGAATGAATTGAATTACTTGCCGTTGGTATGATAGGGTTAAGGTATCAAATTATAGTAATGTATATCATTTTGGCTTTATTGTGCTTCTTCTAAAAGAAGTTGTGGCGTCACTTCAAAAACACTAGATTTCGAAACCATATTTCCGTTTTTTTAGTGACTTGAAAAAAATGTAAGGCTCGTTAAAAAAGTATCAGGAAAGTGATTTTCCATGTAAAATTTACTTCTGAACACAAATTTAGTGTTGTTTTGACGCTTAATTTTGTTTTTATTGAGATATTGAAGTCAACGTGAAGAAAGTGCTTGGGGGCATTGTAGTGCACTGGGTTGGGGGCAATGTAGTGCAATTATACAGAGTACCGTAAATATGTATTATTTAAAAATGTTTTCTTTTTGTAAATTTTTGCAGTTTTCTTTCAGTTTTATTTAACACAGGGCCAAAGAAATCTCTACTTTATGGTGCTGTCCACGAGACGAGATGATATCATGCAAAGTCTCGTCTCGTGGGCATCACTACTAGTTTATAGTTTTTTAAGTTTCTTATGTTCCTAATATTATATCTAATAAAATAAAATCGTTTATGATATATTCTCTGCTTTTTATTCCACTAATAAAGTAGTGCACTACATTGCCCCACAAATTTTAGAATGTCGAAAAACAGTGCCTTCAGTTTTTTGGATATAGAAAAGCTCCATCTACATCTACAAAAAAATAATGTACACCATAAATGTAGCTAGAAACATTGTCTTTCCAACGAGTCCTTATTAATCAAAATTGGTTGAAAATTGCGACCACAGGAGTCTTCGAAAGAAAAGTGCATTACATTACCCCCTTCTACTCTATTGCGAATAAATTTTTAAAAATAAAATTATAATTATACGGTGACTAACTTCCCTTGATTATTTTCGAAAACTTTAAATAAAATTCTTTAAAAGAAGTAAATTATTTGTAATAGAATATCCCAGTAAACAAAAACTAATTGAAATAAATTAAAAAGAATTCACAAAGAGTTTCAGTGAATCCCGCTTTGTGACAAATACGAATTGGAGCTATGTTGCAATTTTCCTGAATTCGTCAAACTGTATTGAACTTCCTAACCTTCTATTCTTACTAATTCAATGGAAAAGTTTTGGGGCCTTTAATTTTTTTTAATTCGTCAGCACGAATTCAATGCATGCCTTGGTCATTTCTTACGAATGCGAATTCGTTTGCACAACTTCAAGACAATTCAATCGAATTCAATCGAATATACAAAGAGCTTGAATGAATTCCGCTTTCTACCAAAAATCTTAATTGATTTCAATCCGTTTGAATTAGTTTTTTTTACTGGGATAAAGATATTTCAGTTACATAAAAAATTTTCAATTATTTGTTTATAAAAATTCAATTATTTTGAAATAACAGAATTAAAAAATCTTATTTTTCAAAATTTTCAAAAAAAACTTTGCAAAAATTCAATTTTATTAAAAAATTTGAAGTGTGTATCTTTTTTTAAATTAACTAATAAAAATTTTAATTATTAATCTTGGCACTTAGAAACATGAATACATTAGAATGTGACTCCTTGTAAAATTTAATTATTTATCATTTATTAAATTAAAATACTTTGAAAATTCGATTTTTTAAAAAGTTTTTAATGAAATTATTTAATTCTTTTTTTGTCACCGAGGCTACTGTTTCCTACTTTTTTTTGTCATCGAGGCTACTATTTGCTACTTTTTTTTTGTCATCGGGGCTACTTTTTCCTACTTTTTTTAAACGCATAATGGACACTGAAAAAAAAGTTCTGGTTGGAATTACCAGAAAACCTGTTTTTAACTAGAATTTCGTGTTAAATATGCCCCAACTAGATTTTTTCTGGTTGGGTTAACCAGAATTCTAGTTAATTTAACCAGAATTCTGGTTGTTTTAACTAGAATATCGTGTTAAATATACCCTAACCAGAACTTTTTTTCAGTGGAGTGCGAAGCCTGATCATATATCACACGTTAGCATGTTATTAGATCATTAGCATTAGAACATTAGTAGTTTTTTTAGATTCCAATCATTAAGGACAACCCGGAGAGCAGATTTTGCCGCGCTTAATATCGCCAAAACCGTGGCTGAAGAAGTTTTAATTTTTATTTTAATTTTTTTAAATTTTCCAACCCTGGGACAACCCAGGCTCCCAGGGTTGGAAATATTAAAAAATTATAAAAAAAATTTAAATTTCGTCAGCCACGGGTTTAACGACCTTAAGAGCGGCATAATTTGCTCACAGGGTTGTGCCAGGGTTGGAAAATGTAAAAAAATTAAAAGAAAAATTCAAAATTCTTCAGTCACGGTTTTTGCAAGCTTAAGAGCCATAAAATCTGCTCCCAGGTTTGTTCCAGGGTTGGAAAATGTAAAGAAATGAAAAAAAATTCAAATTTCTTCAGCCGCGGTAAAAACAAGCTTTTCCCATTGCCTAGGAATCTTTCATAAGCAAGGGTGGCGCCAGAGTATAGATCTTCCTTGTCTCGGCCTTGCGCCAAAGTTGGCACTTGATTTTGCAAACCTTTACCCAGGGTGTCGCCAGCCTTGGGTCATTTTTTAACGAATAAACATATGTTTATTCGTTATTATAATTGGGTCGATAAATTGCAAAATTACGAAAAAACTACTTCTCTTTAAATGCACGGAGTAAAGTTAATAACTAACAATAATAAATTGTTTAAACAAATAGACTTCTGTATATTATTAATGAAATATATTATATAACAACATTTACAGTAAAAATTATTAGTGGTTTAAACACAGAAAAAAGATAGTATAAATTTTGTTGCGGGGAATTTTAACCAATGCTAATTCACATAGAAAGTGGCGCCCTCACTTGGGTGAAAATTTGTTGCAGCGAATATTTACCCCAAAATCAGGTTAAAATTTAAACTTTGTTTTTCTAGTGAAGTTTTATACAAGATTTCAATAATTTTACTTTGGTATTACGTCAGTAATCTTCGTACATGGATTGACAAGTCTTATAAATAAACAATACACATTTTTTGTTAAATTATAATATTAATTAATTTTTATTGTGGAAACTTGAAGCCGAAATTGAGCCGAAATTTGTCGTACATTGAAAAATTGTTAAAACGCCATTTTAAGCATTTTTGAAGGTGGTTCTGCCAGCTTGAAGTAAGGGTGACAAAACCATGGATTTTTTTTAAAATATAAAGGGCCGGAAATTTGGCAATGGGGCATTAAATTAGCCCTAAATGAGCCCTTAATTATGCAATAGGTCCCATCATGATCCGACAATATATTTAATTTCAATTATTAAAAATTTGTTAATTGTTTATTTAAAAAATTTAATTAGAAAAATCATTCAAAAATAATTTTTGAAAGATTTGACTATAGTTATACTTTTTACACTATAAAAATCGGAATAAATTGCATTTTATACCAAAAATACTGTTTTTGTGACAAAACTTGGAAAAGAAGTCGAAAAAGTCGCAATTTTTTAAGAAAAGTCGAAAAAAGTCGCATTTTTTGAAAATAGTCGAAAAAGTCGTAATATCTTAGGCCTAAATTATTTAAAAATCATTAAATTTTTAACTAAAATTTTGAAAATATTAACCCTAGAAGGAGTAACTGGGGTTTAAAATACGTCTCAAAACTTAAAAAATTATTTTTTCGTTTTCAAATCCTAACCATTATTTAATTTTTTTTTAATTTATGAAAAAATGAATAAAACCATTGCTTTTCTTACTAAAAAGTAAAAAACCATTAAAATTCACTAGGTAGGTACCATTAATTGACTTTACGTCAAATAGTAACCTTTCAAAACGATATTCAAGTTTGGATTCAGCGACCTCGAAAACCCCCGAGTAGGCATTTTCAGACAGATTCGTTAACCTAAAAATTTTTTTGGGCGCTATTTTGAATTTTGAATTTTCGACAACGGATTTGAAATCAGCGACCTAGAAAAACCCCGAGTAAGCATTTTTAGCCAGATTCATTAACTTTTAAATGACTTTTTTCGATGGCCCTATAGAGCCCATGGACATACAGGGCACGACATTTTTATGACTTTATAGAGCTCAGTGACAATGAAGGGGTTAAATTCAAACACTTGAGTGAATTCCAGTACTCGATTAAATTAGAGCACCCTGAAAACCTCCCGGTACAAAATTTCAAGCAAATCCTGATTTAAAATTTTTTTTTGTCCGCCATATTGAATACGCCATTTTGAATTTTGATTTTAGATTCATAATTAATTAATTATGGACCCTGAAAAACCTTTAGATACCAAAAATGGTAGAAATTAAATTAATTAAAATAATTCGGAACTTAAAGAGTTAATGAAAAACAAGGACAAAGGACAAAGTCTCTCTGCCCTTTTTAGATTTTTTGTTAAATTATAATATTAATTAATTTTGATTGTGGAAACTTGAAGCCTAAATTGAGCCGAAATTTTTCGTACATAGAAAAAGTCTCAAAACGCCATTTTAAGCATTTTTGAAGGTGGTTCTGCCAGCTTGAAGTAAGGGTGACAAAACCATGGATTTTTTTTAAAATATAAAGGGCCGGAAATTCGGCAATGGGGCATTAAATTAGCCCTAAATGAGCCCTTAATTATGCAATAGGTCCCATCGTGATCCGACAATATGGTTCTGTCAGGTTTACGTAGCTAATTTCCATCACCAGGAACAGTTCTAATAACATACATATTATTCTCTTTATCTCTGACGCATCTTGCCTCGCTTTGGAACCCATTACTTTTATTTTCGTTACCTTTCTTCTTTTTCTTGATTGCAACCTTCTTAACATCGTATGTGGTATTAGTAAAGGATGCATTTTTGTTTTTTTGTAATAATAAAGCTAATTCTTTTTTGAACTCCTCATTTTCTTCAACCGCATATCTAATTATCCGTTGCACTTCAGATGATAATCCTACTTTTGCCTTGGCTGCAACCTTTAAAAACATTTAGAACCAATTAAAAATTATTGGGTATCTAAACGACAACGGAGCAAATATGTGAATTGAATAAATAAAATACCAATTCGAGATTTCTTTCATATTGAACTTCACATTCCCCAAGTGCGGAAAACAATCCAAACCATGAATGGAGATATAAGCAAGGAATAATTTGAGGTTATGACTATCAATTAAACTTTTATTAAAAGTGTTACTTTTATGAAAAATGATATATCAACTGTCAGTTTATTCGGGCTTCAAAATGATATTTCAACTCTCTTTTTTTTTAAATTTCATTTCAAAAGCTATGTATGGAATACTTGAAATTTTCGAGAATTCGATTGCATGCGATATCACGAATATTTCGAATACTTGATAAATTCGGGTACTCGATTAAATTAGATTTTTTAGATTACTGAAAAACTATCAATAATATGAAAATTTCGAATTTATGCTATGTATCCCGTCCCAAGTAGAAATGTCCGAATTTCGGACGGAGTTAAACACCGGCATGGTACTGCCGGTGGTACTGACTCAGTACTGACCGTCGGTACTGACTTTCGGAAGCCGATCAGTACTGGGAGTATACTGACTCCAAAACCGAATCAGTAATACGTCGGAGTTAAAAAAGTATTAAAATCAGTACTGGCATAACACCAAATCAGTACTGCGAAGGAGTTAAAAAACAAACAAAATATGTTATAATGGCATTAAACCGGCCATTACCCAGATGCGAATTTGGGTTGGCCGCCAGAGTTTGAAGGTTGGCCCAAGGTTGGCCTAACTTTGGCAAGCGAAGTTTTGATTGCCAGAGTTTGCCCAACTTTGGCAAGTACTAGTGCCCACAGTTGGCCCGACTTTGGCGATAAAGGTTGGCACAACTCATCCAAACGTAGTTTAAAAGACTTGATTATTCTTGGTTGACCGAACTCTGGGCCACGGTTGGCCCGACGGTTGGCAAAACTTTGTCAAATGCAGTTTAAATGACTTAAACTTTCTTGGTCGGCCGAACTCTGGGCCACGGTTGGCCCGACTGTTGCAGCTTAAATATACATTTTGCGTTATGCACTCCCATGTGAGCGTAGCGTAGTGGTCAGTGTATAAGTCTTCGGTGCGTTAGGTTAGGGGTTCGATCCCAGCGAGCGATAGATATTTTCGAAAATGTATGTATGAGATTGTGTTTAATAATAATAGGTAAAGGTTATATCTGATGTTCCCGCTAATAATAACGTGTTAATTGTTTAAATAATGTAGTTTTTTAATAATTTTTTACCTTTGGCTGTTGAAGTTGGCCAAACTTTGAAAATTGTGATTGGCCCAACTTACGCATCTAAAGTTGTGCCAACTTTGGCGTCAGTCTTTGGACCAACCATTGAAATGTATAGTTGGCACAACTTCCTTATGAGTTGTCGGGCCAACCATCGTCGCCATTAGACGGCGAACCGTTATCATCTGTATGGTTGGCCCAACCTCTGGCACGAGAAGTTGGACCGACTTTGTAAAAGTTGGCCCAACTATGGGCCGACCAAAAAATCGCACCTGGGTATTAATAACAACATCGTTTGATTTATTAACTATTAAAATATTTTCGAACATTTTTAAAAACATTATTCATCAACAATAACATCCAACAGTTTATTAACATTTTATTAAATATTTTTACTATTATGTATTATTAATAATACATTTTTTTTAAATGTATAAATATATGTGGACGTCCACATGAAAAGGGCCCATATTGTCGGTTCTAGTTTTCGAGATAATCGCAATTTAGTAATTTTTGAGCAAATTCTTAATTTTTTTTTTATTTTTTATTATCAATCTACATGTTTTGACAAGTCGAATCATGCGGTTTTCATTAATTTATCGATAATTTAACTGTTTGATTTCACTGGTTCTTTAGAAAAATGAAAAGGGCCCATTTTGTCGGTCATTTGCAAAAGTAATCCGTATTTTAAAAATGGAGGTATAGAAAAATTTAAAACCTCTTGATTTTTCATCTCTAAAGTGTCCTGGACTGTAAACAATTCTAATCTGAATAACTTCTCAGAAGAACCAGAGATATTGATGTTAGAGTCTTTTTTTCGTAATTATCGAAATGAAAATTTGTATATTTCGTCAATTTTTTCATAATAGAGACTGTCAAAAATTTTTAAATAAGTTTAATATCTATTCTTTTTCTTCAAATGACACAATAAAATTGTACGTAATCATTAATCCTGTAAAAAAATGGTTTTTTAATAGAAAAACTGTCCTTTTTAAAAAAGGGCCCATATTGTCTGTTTCTCGTACTTAAGTACGAAATTTTTCAAAATTAAGAGGGGGGAAGGTTTTAAAAATTTAAAACTTATTGGTTTTTCATCTTTTAGGTACCCTGGACTGTAAACAATTCTTATCTGAATAACTTTCCAGAAGAACCAGAGATATTGATGTTAGAATCTTTTTTTCGTAATTGTCGAAATGAAAATTTTAATATTGCGTCAGTTTTTTCATAATAGAGACTGTCAAAAATTTTTAAATAAGTTTAATATCTATTCTTTTTCTTCAAATGACACAATAAAATTGTACCTAATCATTTATCTTGTAAAAAAATGGTTTTTTAAATAGAAAAACTGTCCTTTTTAGAAAAGGGCCCATATTGTCGGTTTTTAAATTAATTAATTAATTAAGGGGAGGGGGTGGTTCTAAAAATTTAAAACCTGTTGGTTTTTTATCTTCAAGGTGCCCTGAACTAGAAACAATTCTTATCTGAATAACTTCCAAGAAGAACCAGAGATACAACAATTAGTTGGTATCGCAATCTTTAATTCCGTTTTTCTCGAAATGAGGTTTTTGGCGTTCTAAACTTTGAAATTCCGTAACTCAGCGAATTTTTAACCAAAAAAGTTCTAAGACCACTCAAAATTTTCCAAATTTTGCCAGGAATACGCCCATATAGATAACTCAAATAGTGCCAAAATGGGCCCTTTTCATGTGGACGTCCACATATATACATTTTTTTTAAATGTATAAATATATATACATTTTTTATTATTTAAATAAATAATTAAATAATTAAATAAATAATTTATCAAATTTTTATGCTATACCTATTAATTAATACATAACGTCTTGTTAAAATGTATATAAATATATGGGTGATTCTTCTAAAAGTGCCACTTTTGAAATTAGATTTTTCAACTTATTTTTTTTTAAATTATATGGTTTTTTATTGAACTTACCTTATTTCATACTCAAGAGTAAGAATTTCGAGTTCCGCGAAATTAATTGTTGAAAATATTAAAGTTTTTTTTTTCTTTAAAGAAGATTGATTTTGTTGCTCCAATTGATCAATTTTATTTGTTTCGTAATTTTTTTTTATGAAATATACATACTAATATAATTCATAATAAAATTGCACTGTTTAAAAGAATAATAATTTGCATATTTTAATACTACACTGAGAAAACTGGTTTATTGGACTAAACATCTGGAGGGACAAATCGTTGATATTTGAGAGTTAGGTATTGGATAACAATCTAAATGTTTAGGTTAATATTTTCAAATCAATGCAGGTAAATACTAAAAACAAAAGAAAAATTCGAACATTTCAAGGAAAAAGCTTCGGATGATTTCTTTAATAATCAAATAACAAATTAATATAAGCCCGTGTAGAAATGGTAGTTGGGTTCTAGTGGGGACCACACTAGTTTATCCCATTTGAAATAGGGCTCCAACTAGAGAAACTGGTGGGGTTCTAGTCGATTTTGTCACGCTCCTGTTGATAGGGTCCCGACTAGAAGTTCTAGTTTACTTCTACCGGTTCTAAAAATTATTATTTTTCAACTTAACCTATTTACAATTGAATTCTTCATTCACATTAACATTATTAACGAATGTTGTACACGTAAAACCTGGAACTAGAATTAAAAATCTCGTGCCCATGGGGGATCGAACCTTGGACCTTGGGGACTCCAGTCGGATACACATACCTCACAGCCACGCTAGGTTGGAAGGACCTTTGCTTAAATTACATTATGAATTATGGAGAGATATTATTCACTCTTATTTAACTCTGCATTGTTAATGATAGTTAATAATAATTAATTATAACATTACTAATTACATTACTTTTTATATTTTTATATTTACTATAATTATTATAATTATATTATTAAATTTATTATTGTAATTGTAAGAAAATAACATAATTTTAATTATTAATTAATGTTTTTATTAATTGTCAAAAAGATTTTTATTAGATAAAATTGTTTTATTTGAATTTTTTGCAAGAATATTCTACAATATTGAAATTTTCTTTAAAGTATGTTAAAAAATTAAATAATCAAATAATTTGCAAAATTTTTTAATAAATAATGCTGGTAAATTTTTCTGTTAATTAATCTGAATTATTTATCTAAAAAGACAATTTATGTATAATACTTGTACACTAGTTTGTCTAGTTGGAAATCAATAAGGTCCTGATCAGTTTTCTCTAGTCTAGGTTATCCTAACTAGAATCTGATAGTTTTCTAGTGAGTTTTTCTACTCTAAATTATCTAACTAGAATTCGATAGGGACCTGACTAGTTTTTCTAGACTAGAGGTTCTAGTCAGAATCTAGCGAGGGCCCTACTAGAGACAGGGATAAATAGGGAAATTTCTACACGGGAGCTTCTAAAGGTAAATTTTGTTTTAGAGAACGCGTTACAGCATTTTCCAAATTTGTTAAATTTTACCTGCGAATCAGTAATTAGGCGGTGTTCTGCCAGTGATATTTTAATACTGACTTAGTACTGACTGCCGGTAAAAAATCAGTACTGGACAGCGTTACCAACCAGAGATTTCATAGTACTGATTTAGTACTGGAGTCAGTATACAGGAAAAAAGAAGCGTTATTATAACATTAAAGTAGAGTTAAAACTACACGCAACATTTTTAACCGACAGTGTGTGATTTTAACACATCATTGGTGTTAAAATTAACACTGGAATATGTTAAATTAACATTACAGGGTGTTAAATTGATATACATTTTAAATGGGGTTAAAATAACACCTAAATTGTGTTAAAACAACATCACCTGAAAACTACACGCAACAAATTTAACACATTTTTTTCTGTATACTGCTATACTGGCAGTCCGTACTGGGTCAGTACTATGCCAGTATTACATTTCTACTTGGAGTGTAGAAATTTCCCTTCGTCTCCCTATCAATGGTTGGATTCTAGATAGAACAACGCCAGAGAATCTAGTCTAGAGAAGCCTGACTAGAATCGACCTAGATTCTTGTGAGAAAATCCGGATTAGAAATATCTCCCCAGATCCCGCTTAGATTTTAGAAAGGCGATTCATATTAGAAAAAAACTGAATAGATCCCAGATAAATTGTGAACAGAGATATCGAGTAGATATATTGATGTGCAAATGTTAGGTTAGGAAATCCAAATAATTATATAGATATAATAATATACGTTATTTTAATTTTTTAAACAATTTTTTTTTCAAAATAGTAAACTGTCGAATTGTTGAAATTCTCGTAAGTACATTTTAGGATAATTATCATATTGTACACTAATATTTTTCATAATTTACATTTTACATGCAGACTTAAAAAATTATTAAAAATTCTACAAGGACATGTCCATATGTTTTTGGGGTCGCTCTTTCGAATGGCAAGGTCAAAATTTCCAAAAAGTGACATTTAACCTTTATTTTTTTCAAAAATACTCAAAAAATATAAAATTTTAGGAAGTAATTTTTTTTAAAATCCAATTTTAGTTGTGATACCGATGTTTCCAAGTCATCTAAAGTTTAAAAAATGTATTCCCGATAGTTTTAGTTTAAAAATATGCTCAGATTCGTAATCAGCGGCCCCGAAAACCCCCG